TCGACTTGCGTTCTCATTACGTAACTCGTACCCAGGATTGGTGACCTCACGTCAGAACCATGTCATGTAACCTGTTTCATATCTACTACGTGATACGTTTTGCCACATACTTTGCCTGATTTCTACGAATTTATTTAGCTCAATCATAATGTTTCATTATGGTCGGTTGTGGTTTATGTGATTATGGCAAAGCTTTGAGGGCTATCTACCTAAACCTTCGTTCAGACGGGGGCGTAAAGGGCATAAGTGGTTAAAGCCGAGCTCCATTGCCAAGGCAACCAGTCTGTGCAACGTCACAAAATCTGGTTTAGGGCTCGTGGCATAGGGTTCAAAGATTTCAACTTTACGCCAAGTTGGGATAAGCGTCGACCAATCAGAGCGAAGCTAAAACGAAGCGGCGTTCTGCAGAAGATTTCGCTGTCACAAAACAAGCAGAGCGAACGCGGGAAATGAATCGAGCAGAACAGCGCGGGAAAGTTGTAGACACATCCACGCATGCGCAAATTTAGCTTCTCTTTGGCCACGGCTTACACGCCGTTCTCGCAAGTGTGAACGGAATTGCCGTATTTTATGCCCTTATGACTACGCCTCTATGCCCTTTACGCCGCCGTCTGAACATAGCCTAAGGGGAGAGATGTCTTCGTGGAGAACTTTCTAAGGGAAACTGGGTCGTATAAACGTTACGTATGGGGAAAACCACGAAAACGCCTATGCAGCCAGTCTGTTTGCGGGATTCGAACCTCGCACTGAACTACCAATGTTCAGCGACTTTACCAGGCCGCTGGTGGGTCATTATGGTCGGAATTTTGTCATCAATTTTTAACCTAGTTCCTAATAAGCTATTGTGTTCAAATTTTGAACACACTCTTTGTCTATGACAATGCAATGTGGTGAAGTTTTATGTTTAAACAATATTCGTACATATCTCCGTTTAATGGATAAACAAAAAATATAAAGAATTCTGTTTTCACCTTCGAATACAGCTGAAAGAAATCTTTTAAATGAAATTTTGTATGAAAACTGGAACTTAATTTCTGAATTTTTGGCGAATATTCGAAAGTCGCTGGATTTTTTCCAGTTTTTCACATCTAATTTCACATCTAAAATTTTATCAACTAAAAATACTTCGAATTTTTGAAATTTTCACAGATTATAAAGCAAACACTTCACCCTATTTTAAACAAGAACGATTAAAAAATAACTAGTTAGTAGATTTTTTGTATGTATTTAAAAAATATGTTGCTATGTCAAGTAGAAAGGGGGGGATCGTTTCTGTTGACTATCGCATTGTTTTACCGTTATGATATCATTAGTACGATGGTTTAGTCAAGGTTATTATTGGCATTGCATCACATCTTTCTTATCACTTCTATGCAAATATCTCTGCATTTACTATCTAAAAATAGTTTAAGGATTTTCATTAGCGTTTGAAATTATCTGAAATGAAATCTAACTCGTCGTTTTTAATTTTTTCCATTTCAAAATGTTGTATTTCTCAACATTACAGTTTAAAGTTTATTTTCATAATTTTATACTCACTTATGGAACTTTAAAATTCCAACCTCCGAGAATCCATCCGTTATTAAGATTTGAAATTTTCAAAGGTTATATAACTCTTGGCCCTGTTTTGGAACAATATAAATTATGCGACTTTCTCGATTTTTTAGCCCAAAAGGACCTATTAGTCTCAAAATGAGATTCTGTGCATCGATAAGCAGCGACTTTTCAAATTGTTGCCACCAAATATTATGGCCCGGTATTATTTTTAAAGAAATTAAAAGCTGTAATAATTCGCTTCCTCTGAAATCTCAATTTGATACTTTTTTTATTACAACCCACATTATTTAAACGGTTGGCCAGGAGAAGATCTGTGAGTAGTGTTGTGATTATGGTAAGTCCATTAACAAGAGGGATAGTGAATTTTAAGTCTAGGAATTGCATAGTTGAAATTCCTAGGATTTTTGCTGTTACACAGGGTGATTCAGAATTCATCATCAATATTTGGTGGGAAGGTAGGAAATAGGAAAAGAAGGAGATTTCACATAGGAAAGTATGGGTGCAGACGAACGCATGGTGGTGTAGAGGGCGCTGTGTGTATACAACTTCCATACATAAGCACAGCTGTTTGACGTGTGCAGCCATTTTTGTACTTTCTTCCAGATTATGCCATATTTTAATAATTGCTCATCTTCTACAAAGCTATGCTTATCCAGCTTTCCAACAGATGACGACTCAAGAGCAGAAATCCTCTTCAATAGTTCTCGCCATGTTTAGGAGATGGCGCCACAGCACACAACTAAAACTCAAGAACTTTCCATTTTTAAAGTGGACTTTATTCTTCACTAAGGCACGCTTCATAGGATAAATAATTGCTGAGTAAAAGTCTTAGGACTAAATACTGTCTGTCTATGAGAAGAATAGTTCCCGCCACAGTGTCTGGTGGATGACAGTTGTTATAGCAACAGGACTAGGCTAGTATATTTCAAATAGGGGCGAACCAAGGGTTGCTTTATTGTTGTTTTATTGTTCTTTTTGGCTACTGTTGGTTAAGGGCAAAAGAATTTATCAATTGTCTTCAAGACAGCCCTACGGAAAATGGGTCAAGACTCGTTTCTATAGCAACAGACAGCTGCAGACTAACTGGCGAGAGCTTTTCGTATAGACAGACTGTACTCATTCTCACTTCAATTCAAGTCACGTGTGCAGCAGTCATCATTCGACTAAGTGACTTTGCAGAAGTAACATGAACCGGTATGCATATTTCATAAGTGCACATAGTGTAGCCACAGAGGGAGTGCCTTCTAATATGGACCAATGAGCATCCAGTAATATTTGTGTCATGTCACAAGACCTTTCGCGTGCTTTAAGATTTAAGCAAGATGGTTGAAAATGTTATGTCACGCAATTTTCTGTACAAAATAATTAAAGCATCATCGATTGCTTCTGAAACTTTTCATTGCGAAGTTTAAATCAATTATAGGAAATTATGAAGATTTCACTAGCTGGTTGAAATAAATACACACACATGTTGGATACTTCGAAAAAATATCGATGTGAAATATTACTTGATATGTGGTAAATAAGATGAAGAAAGAAATACATAAAACTATGTGTATGAGAAAAATATTTACACCAATTTTATATGTAACTAGAAGTCAACACTTTTTATTGCAGTCTATATGAAAAAGATGTTCTATAATAATAATAATAATAATAATAACCAATGCAAAATTTTATTCAAAGTGAATTTTACTAATTTGCACTCGTATACATTGTGTTAAATTTCTCATTTAATAACTGCTCACTCTTAAATGTACTGTCTACACAAGAAATACTCAACATAGTGAATTTATCATATTCACCACAAGTATATTCAATTTATTCACATATCATTTTTAATGTTAACAATTGATATGATCAGATCATATGTATTCTGAATCTTTAAAATCCAAAAGAATGCAAGTGCGGAAATAAGAAAATACTATATTCATTGTAACACTTTCAGTCACTCTCAGCTCAATTAAAAAATATACACTTGAATTATCTTAGTCCACATAATATGCCGTGAACATCAATCCTAATATTAACTTAATGCGTGATAAAAATCGCGAAAGCGAAATGGCAGCGATTACTCAAACTCAGAAAACGAAAGCACTACGAGATTTTCTACTATTAAGCCATACACTGGTGTGCAAAAATTAAGGACGAAGTTGAAAAATTATTATATCAGCTGAATGAAGAGGCAGAGCGGACAGAAAGACCAATCAGGAGATTAAGTAAGGTGATGTATGGTAGCACATGCGCAGATATGCAGGTAGACATAATGGGGGAGTGTCTGAGTAGTATAAAGCATGTTGTCGGTGTAAGATCAGTATTTCTGGCAAAGAAATGCACGACGCCCTGCGTTTGCACGACGCCCTGTATTGTGTGTACCTCTAACGCCTGCCCATCGGAGAAGGCGTTCTCTGTGGTGCCGGGAACACCGGAATTGGAGAGACAATGAATGGGGACGAGTTCTCTTTACAGATGAGAGCAGATTCAGTCTGAGTAGCGATTCTAATCGCATACTCATCTGGAGAGAGCGGGGAAGCCGCAATCATCCTGTATGCCTTGCTGGCTGCGCCTTTAGAGATCTCATACTGTTACGGTGTGTTTTGTGTTATGAAAGCCTTAATATTGGCATCTCGAATTTTTTGGGAGTAGTTTTTTTTTTAGGCGGGAATTTTATTAGTAGCTTGACTCATCTTTACTTAGACCTGGGCGAATTTTTTTGCTGTCGCTTTTTAGTCTCATTCCCGTTTATTTTCAATAATTGTGTAGATATTTTTCATGTATGTATATGTTATAGGCTTATTTTTCTTTATTGTTAATATTAATCATAATTAATTATTTTAATTGTAGTTGGTTTGTGCTTCAATCAAAAAGGTGTGACTTGTTTTGAACAATTTCAAGAAGCTAAGAAATAGGAAAATTTGTAAATATTTTTGTATATAAGACTTGTGTATATAAATATTTATCTCACTTATCCGTATATATTCAAGAATATTGTGTATATCCAGGAAGCCATGTATACAGCCATAATACAGAGTTTTTTCATTCTTATACAAACTCTTCTACTCATTTTCGTGCTTCACTGCAATGCTCGCTTAGTCGCACTTTTAAAAGCTCTGGCGGCGCAGTGTTCCACCTCATGGAACACCCACAGAATTAAAACGGTAAGTGCAATTTTTACAAAATTTTACCTGTATACTACTTTAGGACTAAATACATACAACTTTTGTTGTTGACATTCCGACGTTAACGTATAGTCTGCCGCAAAGGGCTATACGAGAAATAAACGTGTTTGCTGTGTAAGCTTTTAATTAAAACATGGTGATAATCTTAGCGCTGTTTAAATAATGGGGGCTGACTTAATAATGAAAAATAAATTTTTTCTTCTTAGTTATATATTTGGTTTGTTTTTCCAAAATACAATTTGCATTTCTTTTTTTTATTTTCAGTATCACCTATGCCTCTATTCATGTCACAACTCATGCTGGTCGATGTTTCATTTTAACGTTCCTCAATCATACTGGAAAGTCTGAAGTATTGGGTTTTAAGTTAGAGAATTGCCATACTGCGAGTGCTCTGTACCGAGCTGTTACTGAAAAACATGCTTTTTACAGCTGTGAAACAGTGCGTAATGCTGTTACATCTCAGTTTATTAGAGACTTAAAAGGAACTATTGCGTCAATCTTCAATGAGAATACTGCACTTGGTAAAAACTATGTGTTTGATATTCAGAGGACTTGCAGAGAAGTGTATGATCACACGCGAAGACTCTTGTATCAGATGGAAGAAGATATGCTTAAACAAAATTCTAAGAACTCTGATTCTGCAAAAAGTCCTTCAATGCAGGATTTCAGTGTGCTTGGTCAAGAATGTCATTCTGCCACATGCAAAGTAAGTTCTCAAGAAAGGTATACAAACCTGCGTATGCAGGGATATGTTGAGAAATTTAAATGCTTTAAGTAAATTTCAAATGTCGCATGCTATAAAGATTTTTTGTTGTTGTAGTTTCTACATTTAATTTATCTGCCTTAATTTTCCTTTTCTCATTTATTGCCACAAGACTAATATTTATTTGTCTCATCTTCGGCATACCTTTGTGTACATCAGTTATTGTGGCATTATATTATATATAAAGAACTGATAGCATAATTGATTGTAATTTTTATTTCCTTAAAGACTTATTATTTTATACCTTTTGTAATATTTATAATGCAGTAAAGATTCAACTATTCAAAAGGCTCAAGAAATGCCAGATGCGTGAAAATTCCAAATGCAGTCGATTCCGGTTAATCGGGAAACGATCGTTTTAGTCCTAATAACCGGCTGGTCCGATTACATGAACATGTCTTATGTTGTAAGACAGGACATGCTATATGTAGCAAACAGTAAATGTAAATCATGTACTAAAAGGTAATTATGAACTTTATGGTGCGGTACACATGTATGGCGAACATACGTGTACAAAAAGGAAATACAGTAGAACTTTTTTAGATTGAAAAAATTAACTTAGAAACTAATTCTAAGAAACAATCTCCACGATACTCAACATGCAAAGCACAATAAAAACAATTTCTTATTAAGTTCCAGTCAACATTTGAAGAACTTATCCAATGTGATCTGACGCGTTCTCTTGATGGATTGCACATGAACGAAATCGCCACAAACATCTAACGCAGCAATGGGACTGCCTTCATTCCCTTCCTGCATGAAATACCAACACAAAGTTTCAATGCATTTCCTCGCATCCTGTGTTGTCACTTGCACCAACTTATTAGCGGCATCATCATCACTTTCTTGGTCTTCCGATGCTGTCGCGTGTTTTTGCTGCAACTCGAGCAACGATTACAGCGTCGTAATCTTCATTTTCATGATAGCATTGAAGCTCGTTGTCAATGGATAAAAATTCTTCACAATTTTGTTCCTGTTGAAGTTCCACATGTAAATCATCATTTTCACTTTCGATGAGCATGTCCACATCCATCTCCAAAAGTAAGTGCTTAAAGCCACAGTGATAAAAACAGTTCTGAATTGTCTCACTGCTCATTTTCCCGTAGCTTTAAAGTCACGTGGCCCAGCTTTTTAGGGAGTTCTTCAGCTTTGCATTTTAACTTTGGGCTGCTTACTCTCACAGCTCTTCCAGTAACAATGGCAAACCATTCATTAAGGGTCTCATCGATGTCTGGATCCTTGCCTTCACGCTTCCGTTGTCTGTCGGCCACAAATGTAACTGCTTGTAAGATGTTGACCTTTGCACTGACTTTGCTGGTGATGAGGTCAGCAAACTTTCTTCAATTGCTTCAAGGATGTAATTAACCAACCTTGCAGGGTAAAGGGTCTTCAAATTTTTTATGATGCCCTTGTCCATTGGCTGGACCAAAGCTATGGTCCTGGGAGGTAGAAATTCCAGTTGGACGTTCATCAAGCAATCTAAATGAGGATGTATTGCACAACAATTGTCAAGAAAAAGCAGTACTTTTTTCAACTGGCGTTGTAGCTCTCTGTCTCCAATCCTTCAGCCATTCTTTAAAAATTCTTTAAAAAGTTCAGAGGTCATCCACGCATTTCTGTTCGCACGATACACAATTGGTAAACTCCATCCTAAGTTCTTTAAAGCAGCGAGGCTTAGTGCTTTTTCATATAACCAACAGCTTCCTCTTGTCCGTTCCTGACATATTTGAGCAGCACAAAACAGTTACGCGATCCATCGCTTTTTTGGAGCCAGAGAATGCAACATGTTTGTAACTTAACGAACCGTCCGGTGTTTCACGATAACACAGCCTAGTCTCATCAGCATCGTAGATGTCATCTGCTGAAAAATTTTCAAGAAGCTCAGGAAAGTTTTGTTGATTTGCATTCTTCAGCATTTGCACTATCAGCACGTTCTTTCTCGCCATGTGCTTTATTGAAATTTATGTCATGTCTAGATTGGCATCGAGACAGCCAACCATCCGTAGCTTTAAAGTCATCGTGGTCCAGCTTTTTAGCGAGTTCTTCAGCTTTGCATTTTAACTTTGGGCCACTTACTTGCACAGCTCATCCAGTAACAATGGGAAACCATTCATTAAGGGCCTCATCGACGTCTGGGCCTTCACACTTCCGTTGTCTGTCGGCCACAAATGTAACTGCTTGTAAGATGTTGACCTTTGCACTGACTTCACTGGCGATGAGGTCAGCAAACTTTCTTCAATTGCTTCAAGGATGTAATTAACCAACCTTGCAGGGTAAAGTGTCTTCAAATTTTTTATGATGCCCATGTCCATTGGTTGGACCAAAGCTGTGGTCCTGGGAGGTAGAAATTCCAGTTGGACATTCATCAAGCAATCTAAATGCAGATGTGCTGCACGATTGTCAAGAAAAAGCAGTACTTTTCTCGACTGGCGTTGTAGCTCTCTGTCTCAATCCTTCAGCCATTCTTTAAAAAGGTCATCCACACATTTCTGTTCGCACGATACACAACTGGTAAACTCCATCCTAAGTTCTTTAAAGCAGCGAGGCTTAGTGCTTTTTCATATAACCAACAGCTTCCTCTTGTCCGTTCCTGACATATTTGAGCAGCACAAAACAGTTACGCGGTCCATCGCCTTTTTGGAGCCAGAGAATGCAACATGTTTGTAACTTAACGAACCGTCTGGTGTAGCACGATAACACAGCCTAGTCTCATCAGCATTGTAGATGTCATCTGCTGAAAAATTTTCAAGAAGCTCCGGCAGTTTTGTTGATTTCCATTCTTCAGCATTTGCACTATCAGCACGTTCTTTCACGCCATGTGCTTTATTGAATTTTATGTCATGTCTAGATTGGCATCGAGACAACCAACCGTCCAACATTATTAAAGTCATCATAGCCCAGCCTTTTAGTGAGTCATCTGGCCCTGCTTTACGAGTTCTTCAACATTGACCTGCTTAACTTTGGGCTGCTTACAGCTCACAGTCCCAGTCCAGTACTAATGGTTAACCCTTCATTAAGGGCCTCATCGAACCTCTGGATTCCTTTCCTTCATGCTTCTCTTGTTTTGAAAGTTCCTCCTAATCCTTCACATTGTGCCCATTCTTCTCGCAGCTCATTATCTTGTTTTATCCAAGTGCGAAATTGTAGTCTTGCCAATTCCGGTAATTTCCACCAATCCGACGCTTGACTAGTGTTTCGTGGTTGTTGCTTGATCTTATTCAAGAAACCAGTTTTTTTCACCTAACGTCAAGTCCCATCGTGGCATTTTGGCAGGGAAGACACGCGCAGTTCACTGACTAAAGTGGTCTGAGGAAACCTTGGTGTTTCGGGCACAAGATGTTGAGGTCAAGAAGGAGATAAAATGCTCGCCATTCAGAGCTTTGGCACTAAAATCAACCCAAAAAGGTGATGAAATGATAGCTTTCTCATGTGAACTTTAATCATGATTGACAGGCGGGAATTCCTTTCAGGTGGAGCCGGACACTCTATTGTTCATTTCCTCTAACCTCTGAACTTTGCTTTTGTCATGCACTTTAAGTAATTCCTGACCTTTGACCTGCATTTGCCTGGGGAGCTGCAAGTACAGATCCTCCCATATGTCACAGACATCCGCTGTATGCGGCCGACTTGTGGTTTCTGTTTCTCATTCGCTCTCACGTTGTTTTGGTCTGGTTAAACAAAATTTTGGTCCAAATAAGCGAATAATATTAGGCTTATGTACATAGGATTTGTTTCGGTTCTTTAGGATTTGGTCCTAAAAAGAGGCTGGTCCGATTATTCGGTGGTCCAATTGACCGGATTCGACTGTAGTTGAATGTATAAAAAATTGCAAATTCAAATGAATAGAAGCAATTTTGGTAAAAGTATATTTATGGGTATCCCTTGGCGAAAATTGGCGATTTTTGGCAATACATGGATACCGAGTTTATACAATTCTTTGACTTGTTAATTTGGCTTGTGTAACCTACACAAAGCCAAAATAACAAGACAAAGAATTGCACAAACTCGGTATCCATGTACACATCGATCTATTTTCACTTTAAAAAAAACTCAGAATTGCACAAACTTGCGTTGCACACTCCTTTGACTTTATACATGTACACGTCGACCTATATTCACTTAAAAAAAAATCAGAGAATTGTACAAACTAAGCATTGCGCACTCCCTTCACTTTGTCCATGTACACATCAATATGTTTTCACTTAAAAAGTGAAAGGAACACAGAATTCTAGAGGCAAACAAAAATACATAATTTTGATGAACTATATTTTAAACCAAATAATAAAATAACATAAAAAAAACCTCTTATGCATTCAAGCACTACACAAAGCAAATATCCACTTACCTTATTTAGAAATTTCTTCGTCTTCAGTTCGTGGCACAGAAAATTCCTTAACAGCATCCAAAAACTTCCTAAAATTATCAGAACTCGAATCCGTATATCGGTGTTGCCATATAAATTCTCAAAAATAAGAGTCAAAAATATCCTTCGTAGTTTTGGACTATCCGCAATGGCTACTAAGTAAACCTTCGTTTACACAGTCAATGTTCTTTTCCCCTTTCATTCCAAATCGTACAGAAACTTCAAATTAATCTTACTACAATCAGCCATTCTACCGTCTAAACCAGCGGTTCTCAACCTTTTGACTAATGCGTGCCATGTAAACAAAAACTGAAAAACCTTTAGTACCACCACTACTCTTGAACAAAGCTCAGATTGCATAAATTTACGAGTGTTAGAGAAAAAACTCAATCAGAATGTTGGGGTTTTAATTTTTGAATTTAAATAGTTAAAAATACTTTGCTTACCACCAGTGGTACGTGTACCACCGGTTAGAACCCCTGGTTTAAACAATAAAATAAGCAATGTACTTTCTAACCAACACACACCACAAAAGCCCATACAAAACCCTTGGTTTAAACCAGTGCTCCGCAACCTTTTCTCACCTGTGACGCACAAAAAATCTTTCTGGAATTTCGTGGCACACCAAAGAGTTCTGAGTTATCAAGGAAGTGCCGAAAAAATTCAAATGCTGACACACTTACAATCACACACACAACCACACAACAGTGAAATATATAAAAACATTTAAAATAAACATTATTAAGGAAAAAAATTGTCATTGTGTATTAAATACATGATAAAAAATTACAAAATGTCAAATACATGTATTTGATTGCGGCACACCGGTTGCGGAGCACTGGTTTAAACAATAGAACAAGCAATGTGACAAGCAAGAAGATAACCCCTGGTTTAAACAATAAAACAATCAATGTACTTCCTAACCAACACACACCACAAAAGCCCTTACAAAACATCCCATGATTCAAAATTTACCGGAATAATGCAACCGATTATGTCATAATAGGGTTTCCATAACATTCAACTACTCAGATTACCATAAATGAAACAACTTAACGATAAATGAAATAACTTCACGATAATACAAAGGTACCCTTAAGTCAACTCTAACCGCAATTTCTGATAAAAAATTATGAAAACAAGCATCTTATTTGTTATAAACATGAGTACGAGATGCCTACATTTAAAATTATGCAAGACTTTTTTGGGGTAGACGCATTTCAGACATAAAAGCCGACATATTTTGTAGGCGTTAAGTGAAACATCTTTATCAATCATGATAGTTGAGATGTCACCAATCTTTCCAGTAGAAATTTAAAAGAACAAATCGTTTTTTATTAGATACAAATTATGGATACAGCATATAAAAAACTTAAAATCGTTTTCCATAATATTTTGCATTGCTTTGCCGTTATTTATCCTTTTTTAAATAAAATTACCATATGTTGTCCATTTGGCATATATTTTTCTTAATATGGGGATCTTGCAACTTTAAAAATACCCCACTGCATGCCCTTCCATAAAACGCAGATCAGAGTTTACTCGTTTGTTCAAAATATGGGAAAAAAGAGATAAATAACAATTAATTTATATTCAACTTTATGAAAATTAATTGACTTATTGTGAATTGATTGGGTTAACATAAAACCCAGCTGAAACAATTGTGTTGTGATGTTACACTCATCCTTTCTTGGGGCTAAATCACAGTTTGGTGGCAATGGCAGATCACAAGCATATATACTTTGATACAAATATCTTATTTACTTAATTTGGGGGGGGGAGTGGAGAGCAGGAGGGAGTTTCTGAAATACCCTGTTTGCCTGAGCTTTTAATATTCATTTGGCAGATGTATATTTATTAGAATTAAAAAAATTCTTTCTAGGCATAGTTTCTGAAATATTCTGCTTGCTTGAGCTTTTACTAAAAAAAAATTCTTTCATAGATAACTAGGCACTCCACTTGTTCAAATCACTGAATTTTGGTAGTTTGATCTAGGCTCAGTTCCAGGCAAACAGGCTGGCTGTATGGGCATTTTCATAGTTTTGCCCATGTTTTATTTAAAATGCAAGCCAGCTTTTCCGTAAATATCCTCTACGAAGTTATCCCTTCCTTTAGGCAGATAGTCCTAGCATGCTTTGCCATCATCAAACCAAACCAAACCATAATATGGAGAAACTAAGTCATGATAGGTGTTTATTCTTGTGGGGAGAAACTATGCAGTAATGAGATTTCATATTAGTACTGGTATGATGATTCACTAGTGTGATAATAATTCCTTTTGAACTATTATTATCTGCTTTGTAACAAAGCTGTAGGAGCAGATATAATGTACAAACAAATTTTATTGCAGCACTGGCTGCTACTTTCGGAGGAGGATGAGATTAAAAACTTAGCTAGGTATTTTGCCATTTTCAAAACAACCTGGTAGCCAAGAATAACAATTTTGAGTATAGAAAATCTTTATTAGGAGTGAACGCTCTTTCTAAGGTATTGCAACTCTCACAGCACTGGCTTTCTTTTTCTCAAGTTTTGAGTCAAGACATTCTGTACTGACAGATAAAGGATGGATCTGTCTGCAACTCTTCTTCAACTGCAAGTAGTAGGCTTTGCTGGATTTTAGACTTGATTGGCTCAAGTCTTCCTTGATTACTATACCAACATTAAAGTTTGAGACTCCTTTGAGAAATTGCAAAGTATGTGCAAATTGACGATGGGATGTCAAATATAATTTTTACAACAAAAAGTTATGACTGATGCCAAAATAATGAGCTCCAGCCATCAGATGTGAAAACTTTTTGAGCCGCTCCTATAATTTTTTAGAATGACGAAGGCATAGGTATCTTCTGAAAAGCAGTTGCACCCTTCCAGCCTGTTAGCAAACCAGGAAATCATGTGAGAATGAAAATGCTTTTTCTCCTGTGAAATTCTTTTATTTGGATATTGAAGCACCTAAAAGTCATATTGTAGCAGGAACAAATTGTAGTGTAACTCAACACCACTGAATTCTAGAAATTCGATCCCAGGCAAAACAAGCATTAATGAATGTGAATAAAAAAATACTATAAATGAATTCAACTACCATAATTGTTGGAAGAATCATCATTTTCCTTGATTCAGCCTCTGATCCTTTTTTATTTCATACTGTTTTTCCCCCCTAAAATAAGGCTTGCAGTTCATTATCGTTTACATCCTTTTCAGTGACTTTATTTAGTTTTATCAGAATTTATAAACTGCTGTGTTTTCTGTATGGTAATTTCGTAAGAAAAGAAGTGCCTGGTAAAATGAAACTTATTGCATTACCTAGTTGCATCAGATGTTGTGAAATAGTTTGCAGCAATAGTTAGAGTATTTCATATTTATGGAATGCAAATCATTATGTCTGTAGGACATCTTATATTTTTTAAAATTAAAAATATATATATATTTTTGATAAAGAAAGAAAATGTATAATTTTTATGTGAAATAAAATATATATTAATTCAACCAGTGCAGCAATCCAAGGCATGTATCAGTAGCTGTATATTTGTAGATAATAATTTTTGGGGAAAAAGGGGGGAGATTTTCATGTTTGGAATACTCCCAAACAGTCATATTTGGAACATTATAATTTTTATCTGCTTGAAAATGAAAAAATATTCACAGGGAGATTTTGTTTTAATATTTTGATTCCCCCTTTTCTACAGATAATTCAAGAAGAACTTGCTGCTATACAAGACTCAATGTTATGCAGAGTGTGCATGGACTGTGATGCAAGTACTGTATTTTTTCCATGCAGGCATGTAGCTTGTTGTAACACATGTGCTCCAATGTGCCAGAACTGTCCTCTTTGTCGTAGTGATATCTCTGAAACTCAACATATCTACCTACCATACTCAGGCCATCGTGATATTGCAAGGTAGATTAGGAAGTGTTTGTTGTAAAGTCTGCAACTTCTGAACGATGAAGACACTAATTTTAATACTACTAATGTCTTTTAGTTTGCAGAACATTTTAAATGAGTATTAATTTATATCCGTGATAACCAGTATTTATAATATATAGAGTGAGACACATTTAATTTATTGAATGATTCCTGTAAAAAAAAATTCAGCTACACATGTTACATTTTTTTAATGTTATGAAAGACTGATTTTTTTATGTCAAAAAATTGTTTCATCAGAGCTGAATGATTTTGTAAGCCTGATTTTTCGAATTTGTATTTCTTAATATTTGTTTTGATAGTGTGTATTATTTAAGCATGTTTTTTTTTTTTTTTTTTTAGTGTATGTAACTAACTGATTTACTATTTCAGTTTATTACTTATATTTCAAAATTAAAAGTATGTGACTTTTTTTTAATGTATGGAAAGTTCTGTTATACTAGTGCTTAAGTAGGGGAAATTAAAGGGCAATTATTTCATAAATATATTTAAAATATATCCCAAGTTTAGTGTTTTTGAATTTCCATTTTTTCAAAACAAATTACTTACAAATGTATCTATTTTCATCTTTTTGATGTTACATAATCATAAATTTAATTGTGGAAAAGTGAAATAATTTTAGAAAAGGTTAAAATTAATATTCTAAATAAAATATGTACTGTATAAATGACATGCTGTATCATTTTCTTGATAAACAAATCATATTTTATCAAAAGTCTTTAGATAAAATAGAATAGATATTATCCTTTTTACTCTTTTAAACGTATTTATTTTTAGTTAATTTTATATGAAACTACCTGATCAAAATACAGCATGTTGTTTTATCTCAAATCTCAAGTTTACATTTCTCCTATGTATCATTTTTGGAAGAAGAAAGCAAATAATAGATGAGAAGTTGTTAGATGTGGAAAATATGAATTTGGAGTCCTGTGATTCTAATCTTGTGGAACTGATTAAATGTTAGTCATGTAATATAATGAAAAATATGAACATACGTCCTTCAGTTCTAAGTGTTTGTAAATACTGTAGATTTTAAAGTGAAAAGATGCTGAATGTTCTTATACTCTAATGGATTTATTTTATTAATCCCCAAGTTGCCAGGACTAGTTATAATGAACTGATTAGTCAGCAGTCGGAGCAATTTAAAATTGGTTTAAGATGTGGAGTAAACTGTTGTTCAAGTACATTTAAATTTTCAAACAAAAATTTTTGGAAACTATTCAAGTCAGAACCAACTTTCTCAAATTATTAATAGAATAAATGTTTAATTTATAGCATACTTATATTCTGGTTTGATAACTTTCTTGTAATGTAAACTAATAAATCCTGTTTAATTTTTTTTAAAGGGAAAATTTTCATTTAATAATAATAACATTGCATATGTGAGGTACATTAATAAATTACATATTAAGGTAAAACTGAATTTTAGATTTGTGTTATGAGGCTCTCTCTGAATTTTTCATTTGCATGGTTTCTGAAATAATAAGCACTTTTTAAATAATACAAAAGTTTTACTTACAGTACTTATTCACATATATACAATATATTCTTGAATAAATATGTTATATTTTTGTTTAATAGTTAGGCACCTAAGTTATTGAGCATAGACAGTTTGTATTTCAAAAATTAAAATATTTCTCTGTTATTAAACAATACTTTCTTCACAATTACACTACATTTAGTTCAGTACCAGAACCCAAAGGGAAAAAAAAGTTAAAAAAAGCATGCCTTTAGAATTTATTTTCAGTGGTAAGTGCTGCAATACACTTTTTTTTTTAGCCCCGAAAGGTTGTTATTCTTGAGCCTCACTTTAACATTGAATCAGTTGTTGGTTAATTTTTTCAAATTTCAGCACCCAGCTGCCTGAAATAGCTACTATAAAAATGAAAATATTTATAATGCTTTTTTAGTAAATCCACCTAGTGTCATTTCACAGGTCCAGCTGGTAATTAATAAGCGAGATAAAGAACTGCCTCTCTAGCTTTTAAAATGCTTTTAATTTATTAATCAGAAACAGGTGGATTAAATGTAAAAGAAATATTAAACATATTGCGCTTTCCCAAATGGCAACAAACTGGTGTGAGTGGTGGAAATCTAAAATATTATATTGGATATCTTTAGAATTCTTGAAAAAAAGTATTAAATGTTGCCATATAATTTTTGGAGACTATTATGATATCTGGTGCTAGAAAAAAGTATTAGAACTAAAACTCTGTATAGTTCTTAGTGATAATGCTTTTTTTTTAATCACCAGAGTTATGTAGAGAGAGTATGTGGCAGTGAGACCAGCTTTTATTGAGTACATACCATAAAGAAGTCTGCTAGTATTCAATAAAGACATATTTTGAATTTTGAGGGGAAGGAGATTGAAATTATACTTTTTTCACACCAGCTGTTCCAAAGTTTTATTTTATGTATTTCTTTATAATTAGCCCAAAAGGATTATTAGTCTAGAATATGATTTTGCATTGAAGAATAGTTATAATTTTGTGGAGTTTAACAAAATACTCAACTTCCAGCATATTGAAATAGATCAGAGTCTAATATGTTTTTTATATACATGTATAGTTTATTATGCTATTCCTGGCTGCTGCAAAAATTAGCAAATTTTCTAAAAAAAGTCAGAAATAAAAAAATTTTACAAAAATACTTAAGACTTTTTTCTCATCTATTCATTAGAAACAAAATATATCCTTTTCTGTAGTAGATGTTAAGTCCATAATCGACACGCGTCCTGTGACTGCAAAATATTCGCACAATGTTTGAAGGTGATATTAGCTATTAAATGTAGGATTAATGTTCTAAGTATTAAGAAGTATTTTTGACATTTTGCATTGTATTTGATAATTGACTACATCTTCATCTGATGATGTTTTTCACATTATACCATAAAACTATTATTGTAAGTTACTTTTGCAAAAAAGCATTTCTTATAAAAATTAATAAAATTTTCTATTTTGTAATGATAAATTTAAATGCATCAAATGCTTACATTTTGATAATTCTGCATTACAAATGTAGACGTATTTATTTATTTATTATTGTGCAATTACATTTTAATAATTCTTTCGTTTAACATCCAGTATTTTAAAACAAAATATCTGAAGTCATATGTATATTTCAGTATTGTATTGTATCTACATAATAATTATACTGTCTTCCACACTTTGTTTTTATAATTTTTTTTTTTTTTGCTTTATTTATGTAATAACAAGTCCATTGTAGAATAGTTGTGATACTTGTTATGTGAGTAGAAATACTTACCAGTATTTTTATGTGCACAAACTTCATGTACCTAATACTTATTAAAATTTATAGATTTTAGAATTTCTGTGTTGGTCCTTGTATTTGAAGATATTAAGTGAATAATTACCACCAGATTTGTTTCAATTCACATTTATCTCGGATTAGATTACATTAATTTTGAATTATCTATCTAAAGTTGCATGACTTTTTTAAAATTCGCAAAATAAGAAATAATTTAGAATATAAGGATGTGCTTTATCCCAAAATTCATGCCATAAATTTGGATTTTTTTATTTGGCAACAAAAAGATTTTAGTTCAAAATTGCTAATTCAATAACTCTGCACTCTCATCCTACCTTTCAGATGATATTAAAAAAAAAAAAAAAAAAAAAAATAAGTTTCCTTAACACATTGAGCATGCTGCCGAATTTGCTGTCCTTTCTGTTCCGTTCAGCCGGCAGCGAGCTAAGCCGTATTTTTGTTTAGAATGTTTCAATACATTTCATTAAAACTAAATTTGATCACATTTCATTGAGACTATATTTATTTTTTAACTTTAATACTGTCGGTCCTGTGGACCGACACCAGCCAAACGAAAATTGCAGTGCCGGTTCCCAGGGACCGACGCAGGCCACACAGAAAGTTCACTGCCGGTCCCTGGGGACCGGCACCGCAATCAACGTGTTAAATGCTATATGTTGTTAGTTGTTTTGTTGCTCAGTTTTTCATACAATCAAATTTTAATATGTTCTCCAGCATAGGTAATCGCATTTTACAAGTATCTGATCACATCATTCATCAATACATTGAGAATGGGTTAAGAAAAGTAACTTTATGGTGGTTAAAGCTTTAATTTTATTACAGATGATGCTATACTAGTTGACACTGACATCTTCAAGTAGCTTCCTTGCCAAAAAGCACATAAGAATAAAGTCTGGATGAAGACAAGCAGAGCAAAAGCAACTAATCAGTTGCTCAGCATTAAATGCTTTTATGAGGTACTGCTTCAAAGGGTTTCATAGGTGAAAAGAAGAACAATACTGCATAAGCATTACATTCTACAGTATGAAGTTTTGTTCTCGCATTACAATTACATATAATGTTATCCTATAATGGAGCACACTTTCCAACCACTTATTACCCATTAGCTGTTCAAAAAAAGAATCATCTGATGATGATGCATGCTATGAAATCACACAGCACACTGAGTCATGACGAGTGTAATGGTTTTTCTGTGTACACACCCAGAAAAACCATCAACAGTTATAGACTACAACTTCAACTTTAGGAAAATTGAAAACAAATTTTTCAGTTTTCTTGAAGCATTTCACGAGAGTTAATTGCATACCTTTGTCATAGTCACTAACCTTGATAGTATGTGTTCCTAAGAAACTGAAACAGCCAATTCATAGTCATAAAGAAACAATTTGAATAGCAATGTTTTGTGAATCAAGTAGTAAATCATCGTTAACCTTTTGACGTATCAGTACATTTGTTTGGGCAAAGATGCATATGACATTCTGATACATCAACACTATATAAGGAAGGATACTACCTGGCAGTGGAAAGAATGCAAAGTACCACTGCATTTACCAAACTATTTTGAAAAGTATCACACGCTTCAAAATTATTGATAATTTGCTATTTATTTATAACCAGAGTTTATTTGTTTTAAAAGTATTTTGTAATATTAACTGCCTAAAGTTATTTCAGTATTATGTAGAAGTATATATAATGAATAGTATGAAATAAATTAATTCTTGCATAAAATCTACTGTTCTTACTTGCCCACAAAATTAAATATGCTCCAGTGCAAAAAAAATTTCAAATAAATGTGTACCCAAAGGATTAAAGTCCGTGAACAGTAACCAATGCAAAAGATCGAAATTTCGTGGGTAGACAATTTCTTTTAAAGGCAGCCTCATTTGCAAATTTATGCTATCAATGGTGTAAACTGTTAGTGAAATTTTGAATTACAATATATAAGTGGGAGAGCAGAAATGCCAAGGCATGAATTTTGATGCAAACTCCGTCCTTGTACAACACATCTGTATAATTTTTTTAATTTTTAAAATGTCTGGTGACTTTTGACAATTATCTTTTCATGAAATTTGTTTTCATATTTTTTAAATTACTTAATTTTTCCTCCTTTTGAACTTCATTATAATTATTCCATAATCTCTTTAATGATTTACAATTATATCATGATCTAGATTATTTAAAAAAACTAGCAGTTACTGTAAAAAAAAGTAGTATTGGTATTATTAAAAAAAGTATTTATTGATTTACTATCGCCTTAGACTTAAATATGAAATTATGCTTTCATTATGCAATCAAAATTTTATACATTTATTTTAAGAAATAATATGCAAGAAAGTTAACGTCATATTGTGACTACTGATGCAAGAACGTTAAAGCAATATTGTGATTTGCTTTTGTATTTATTTGCTGATATTTTAAACATATTGTGGTTCGATAACAAATCAAAACAAGCAGTAAGATATGAAACATGAAATCTTTTTAAAATATGTTAAAATGCTACTGATTACTGACTTATGTGCAAGCCTTTGGAATCTCTGATAAAAAAGTTTTCATTTGTAATAATACGATAAAGAAAAAATTATTTCAGCAGGGGAGATTTTTATGAACTGCTTGTATAGCTTATTTTGAAATACTAGATATGTATGCCCTTTAAATGCTACATTAGAACAAAACCATCAAAGCGAGATAAAATGTGAATATGAAATAGTACACACAAATATGTAGAACTATAGTTAGGACTGAATATAGTAAAGCACACAAGGGCTATCTGTCTACATGAAGGGATGACTTCATGAAGAACTTCTAAAGGAAACTGACTTGTATTGACAGTATACAATGAGAAAACCATCCATGCAAACATTCCGTTCGCCTGGAATTGAACCAGAGCCCTACATACATGAATTCATGCCCGAGAAATTAGTATGGACAATGACATTTAAGTTATGATAAATACGCTGGACAATATGGTAGAAGTCCCTCCATGCATCAAGATACACTCATTGTCAAATAACACAGTTGCACCTACACAGAATCAGTCTACCTGAATGAAATCAGGCATACAGATTATCACTGTTAGATATGCAAATGATTCAAGCTTCACACACATCCGCATATACGACATCAGCAAGAACGGGGCGTACGACCTGCTTCACCATAAAAAGTCATCCCGATGAGTGTAATATCCTCTTTGAATATAGTGTTGTTGTATTGAAAACCATCTGTTTAAAGTGTACTTGAAGACAAATTCAACAGTAGTTTGAACATTGGAATGCATTCAAGAAATGTGGTGTGTTAGACCTGCATGAAGGCGGATAGCTAATTTGCCGTAGTGTGTGTTATATACATCGTGTGAATGTTGCTATTACACGCTTTTGGTGTTATTAATTTCAGGAATTCGCAGTCGGCAAGTTCTGAAAGATGTTCAGACAACAATGAGTGAAGAACGAAGGATTATCTGACGTGACATATAACAGAGTACCTAAAATAGATGGCTACAATTCTTGAGTTATGAGAATTCAGACTACAACAACGACTGCCCCCGATACCTCAGCAGCATCACCACAGGCTGCAATAATGGTACTGAGAGAGAGAGAGCATTATGGCAGTGGTTAATCTTTAGTGGCGAGTTTCACTTTTGTCTTGGTGCGAATAGCAATGCATCTGCGTGTGGAAGTAACGCTTCAACATCAACATAATTTTTTTATGTCACTTATCATACAAATAGTCAGTTGGATATCATAGTATGAGGTGTGATTTCATGACACCTGAACATATTGTGCTTACATGGGAACTTCGAAAGCTCAGTGGCATGTTGATGAAGTCCTTTGACAAGTGTGGCCCAGCCATTTGTGAACAGCCAGAATGCATTATTATGACATGAAAATACCCATCTTCACACTGCTGGCATATTGTGTTTTAACCTTTTGTTGTTGTTGTCTTTTCCATATTATATGGAACAATGGTTTCCAGAGCCTTCTCCGAAGAGAGGTTGGACTTCTATTTTCCACCCCTAATTTTACGATCTCCCACGAATCCACATGAGAGGACTTTTGGCTTGCCGCATATTTAGAGTGCTGCCATGACACTATACATACTTTTCTGGGATTCGAATCCGGGCTCTTCAGTACTATACTAGGCTCCCCTAACCACTATACCATCTGGATGACTTTTAACCTTTTGATGGTCATTTACTAGCTCAGCTTACATATTTACGATGACAGATATCATGCATATTTGGGAAGAAAGGATTGCTTAATCTTGAAACCAATGACGGGTGAACAAACATCATTATATGAAGTGTGCAGATTTTACTTGGGAATATGAGAATGCAAAAAGAACTTGCGGTGCAGCCATTTCGCCAGACTTATCTATAATAGAAAACCTTTGGGAAGCTACAAGCTGCTCTGATGCACAATAAATATTTGTCATACCACTCTTACTTTGTTAATCCTTTTTTTTTTTTTTTGTTGTTGTTGTTGTTGTTGATAACTATTAACTTCTTTCCAAATAATATTTCAATCCAACTTTTTGTTTTTGGTGTAATATTTGTTTTCAGGAGGGGGAGGGATGATGCTTATATTATTCATTATTCGATTTTGACTTTTATCCACAAATTCGGTGTTAGGGAAAGAAAAGAACTAGTTAGCTGATGAGGCCTGTTGATCAGGACTGGTTTGAACTGTCCAGTGTACTGAGATATTGGACTGTCTCTATCGATATTGATTTTCTAGTACATGGATTCTCAACCGAAGGCGGAATTGCTATAGTTTCAGTGGGGAATGCGGTCAGCCTTTTATTTACCTCTCAAGTATTTAATCAGTTTCATGTAATTGAAAGAGATTAAAAAAAATATTCATAGAAGTATTTGATACAGTACAAAGTCCAAGATCCGGACTAGTCAGGATTTCGGCGATTCTGGATTTGGGAATTTTCTGGATATTAAATCATCAGTTTGAATCTAGTAAGATGACTTGTAGAAATTGTAAAATTAAAAATATGAAATAGGTGTTCATGGTATAAAGAAGCATTTATGACCT